GAACTGAGCTTATATGTAATGGCACCTGATTGATGTACACACAAATTTCTATATCTTTAAAGTGTAATATACCACATTTATAGATATAACTTTATTAATTTAGGTTTAAATAACTTAAGATAAAAAATTCAAATTCGTGTTAAAATTCTTATAATATCTAATTTAAAATTCTTATGATATCTACACACACACATTTAATTTGCAGCCTATTATACCCTCAGTATACTTACTATATATTTGAGAAAGGCTAATGAGTGCATCATTTGCAATTTTATATCTTACATTTTGCTATAAGCAATATTTTCCCTTATTTTTTTCAATAAAAATCAGTCTATCAAATAAAAATAATGGTAATATAATTTTATTTACCAACAATTCTGTGTTTTTCCATCAAATTCCATCTTAAAAACTAAAAATTATATGCTTTCATTTAAAGAATATCTAAAACTATTTGCGAAATCGAAGCTTTTTTTTAATGTTTCTTTATTATTTGTAGCGTATAAATGCTATTGAGCCAGAAGATATTCCTGAAATACCTGAATTCGAAGTATTTCTCAAGCAAGATCCAAATGAAACTACAATAGCAATATTTCCGGAAGATGTGAAAAATTTTTCTGAAATTACTTTAGAATGTAAGGTAGGTATAATTTGTATTTTAAAATATTTTTTATTTTTGGTTCATAATTTTTTGAATGAAATTTGTTTAATTATTAACAAAAATTCAAATCACCGGAACATTTTTTTTTGCCTGTAAAAAAGTTAAAAGTTTTGATGTATAAACGCTATTTTTTTATCAGTAATATACATCACACTCATCACTGCCGCGAAGAAGACGGGGGAAGTAGATTATGGCCGTAAAAAAAGGGGATTGGATGTTAAACCTGTAAGGGCGCCCTTCTCCTTGATTATCAGCGTGAGCTAGAGGTGTAGGATTAACGGAAGAACTAGAAGCTCCCATGATCTTAATTTGACTTTTTTTATTAAGATCTTAAAACTTAAACTTCTAACAGATTAGATAATAATAATACAGAGTGTTTTTTTTCCAGGTATAGAAGTTTAAGTTGGCATTACTTTCCAAGATGGCGACCGATTTAACAGCTGTCAAGTGATTTATTCTCAGTTTGGTTTGGCAATTCATCATGAAGAGACTCACGCCTGAACAACGCTTTCAAATTGTGCAATTTTATTTCGAAAATAATGGTCGATTTTCATAAGCGAATTTTGTTTAGCGATGAAGCGCACTTCTGGTTGAATGGCTACGTCAACAAACAAAACTGCCGCATTTGGAGTGAAGCTAATCCACAAGTGTATGTCGAAACACCGTTACATCCAGAAAAACTGACTGTTTGGTGCGCTTTATGGGCTGGTGGAATCCTTCTTCAAAAACGATGAAGGCCACAACGTTACAGTCAATGGTGATCGGTATAGAGCCATGATTACTAACTTTTTCATTCCTGAATTGAACAATCATGATGTCCAGGAGCTGTGGTTCCAACAAGACGGCGCAACATGTCACACAGCTCGTGCCACAATCGATTTATTGAAAGACACGTTTGGTGACCGTCTATAGGACCTGTGAATTGGCCTCCAAGATCTTGTGATTTAACACCGCTAGACTATTTTCTGTGGGGCTATGTAAAGTCATTGGTCTATGCGGATAAGCCACAAACGCTTGACCATTTGGAAGACAACATTCGCCGTGTTATTGCCGATATACGGCCACAAATGTTGGAAAAAGTCATCGAAAATTGGACGTCCAGATTGGACTATATCCGAGCCAGCCGTGGCAGTCCTATGCCAGAAATCATATTTAAAATGTAATGCCACAAGATTATCTTTCGAATAAAAAAAATTCATGTCAATCGAATAATACATCGTTGTTTTATTGCAATTTAAAGTTCTATACCTCTCAAAAAAACACCCTATATATGTGAGAGAATCTACGGTGGCTAAACACACAATATATATAATACCGAAATAACATAACTTGGACCACTATCAATACTAACTCGCCTGTGGCACACAGCTTACTCTAACTTCTGATATTTAAAAGCTTCCTAATTTGCATCTTTCCTTCACGCTTCACTTCTTGGGTTTGGTGGGAAAAGAGTTGCCATTAATTCTGGCCCCAAAGAACATGTTAATGAAAAGACGCGTGAGCCCGTCACAAACCCTCCATTGACCAACAGATTTTTAATTTTTTGTTTAAATATTACGCTTCAGAATTTTCGACTATGTGTTTCTTAAAATATAATATCCGTTCCCATAAGAAAACAAGTTCGTGTACGCCACTGGAGTAACAAATACAGTAGTATGTCTGGGGAGTACAAGGGATAGAAAATATAAATTTAAGAACTTAGCTTTTAAATGATAAGTTTTTGGTGTTTTCTAAGCGAATTTGAAAAATACCGCTGACCAGCTTTATCATTATTTTTTTTTTTTTTTTGAGATATTGACTAAAACTGTATGGTTCAACTTTCACAAAGAAACAATCCACTACTTGCTGTGGCACTCACTGACGTACACAAGAGGGTTCGAAACCCCCCACAGACCAACAAATTTTTTATTTTTACAACACAGAACACACACTTTTTTTTTACACTCTTGGTGTTTCCGTCTACGTGTTTATAGAGTGTACCCCCCATAAGAGAGGTCTGTGTAAGCCACTGGTGGCGCTGTATACACTGCTTAGCCTCGACGTACGAGTTTAATAGCCATATTGCACGCATATAATGATACTTACTGTATATTTTCGCACCAAGACTGAAAAAGAGGTGATAAAAGTTTGAACACTCCACCTCTCCCCCATAATAAACCCACCCTAAGTTTAGTGGTTGCTAACGGAAAAGTAACAGACCATCCCTGGAATTACGGTAACTTACGCTTAACTTTAATATATATCGGAGCTCCAGAGCTTAACAAAGTATAGACATTTGTAGAGAGAAGTATCAGCTCTCCAGTTTCGTAAGTGACCTTGATGTAAAATTTGAGATGTTAACGTAAAAATTTATGAATATATATATTTCTTTATGCATATATGTCAGGCTCCAAGCTGGCGTAGAAATAATTGCATCAATCTTTATAATAATTCAATCTTTATTATAGCATGGTAAAAACTTTTTCCAATATGGCTGCCACTCGGTGCCTAACTTATTCAAAAGACCATTCATTCTTTTTGAGGTACTGGGCCCCTACTCAAAAGTACTCCCCAATACGTATAACCCACTGCAGCCTGATTACACATATTGAAGGCAGACAAAGAGGAAAAAAAGGCGGATTTTCCAGAAATCTCGGTTATTATCCGAAGCGGCAAACTCGCATGATCTCCGTGGACAGAGACTGCACAGTGGTGTGGTTAGATATAGTTCAAAGGATTCCCATTAGGTGGGTAGCTAGTTATTATTTAAACGTGGGTCCTGAAGGAATGGATCATCAATAATTAGAAAGTTATAAAGGATTAAATTAATTGGAGTTATTACACACACACACACATATAGCTTTTACACATTTTGTGCTTTAAATACAGTCTTTAGAGAAATAAATTTTTTTATAATGATTGTTTAATAGCATACAATAAAATATTCGAAAATATAAAATATTTTAAATGATGACTGCTACTTTGAAAATAAATTTTGCGATTAAACTTATAAATTTTTTATCCTTTTCTGACAGTTTCATAATTTATTTAACCAAAATATTTGATTTACAAGAAAGTAAGCTTTTAGTAATCGACATTCTGAACGCCATTAGAATTAATTTTATTTAAACAGAAAAATAATGATATTATTCAAAGAATTTATTAATGTATCCCTATATATGTTGTCAACCTTAACCTCTAATAAAGTCAGAACATGAAATTCCAACTCTAAACTAGGAGTTTTTCACAGATATTTTTTTCTCATTTTTAAATTATGAATCTATATAACTCTTCCTTCTAATACACATTAAGTAGCTTTAAAAAAATTGATATATTTGTCGGTTTACCCTTTCCCTCTTCAAATTTCAGGAATATTGCACTTACTATTGCAGCATGGGAATTTTAATGCCTTGCAACAGAGAAATCGGAATAGTCATGTATAACAATTCATGCTATGGATTTTCAAACCAAGATGTCATGGATTCTTTTAGAAAACAACCTGCCAAATACGTTGCATCTGTGATAGACTGCATGATCAAAATACCTCAACTTATATTCACTCTGCAAATGGAAGAAAAATTTGATTTTCCAGTAATTGTAAGTTTTTATGATTGTATATGTAATAGCACAAAGAAACAGTGAAAATTAAAAATATAAAATGCTCATTAGAAAGTCTTGCTAAATTTGGTTTCCAAATTATTTGCATCTTTCAAAGTTTAGATGATTGTCAAATCAATAAGATTTTTTTTACAATATTTTATTTAAACTCTTGCAAAAATATAAATATAAAGTATGAGTTGATTTGAAGCATAAAATATTAAAAACAAGTAAAAAAATTAAAGTCAATTTCTACTTAGGTCAACAAAGAAAATTTTTATTTTAGTTACTTTTTATTAAATAATTACAATTAATATAAATATGTATATACATATGACAGAAACACAGCATTAAGTGGCAAAACAGAAATCGATTTTCCTTTCTATATACGGTGTTGGACTATTATTTTTGTTTTTTACTTTATTTATTAATTAATTAAATGTAATAATTCCAATAAAATAGTATAGCATGAGGCCCAGTAGTAGCGTATCGCGCTTCCACACCACAGGTCCAGGGTTCTATCTACTGGCTGAGCAAGGTCGACTCAGCCTTTCAGTGGATCGGTAAATGAGTACCAAGCTTGCTTGGGGACTAAACATTGGGGGTTTCACTTCAGACTGACCACCTGATTGGGGCATCTTCTCATGCACCTCAGCACCCAATGGTCGCGTGTACTGAGATGGGCACAGTAGAGCTTGGCTCTTTTGTACCACTGAGTTTAGTTTAGTAAAAGTATAGCAAAAAAGAAAACACATTCTCAGAAATTAGTCCATATGAGGTGGGGTTCAAACCCACAACCTTTGGATTAGAAGTCCAATGCACTATCTATTGTGTTACAAGGACACAACGAGCGGATTTCTTTTTTATATATGGTGAGGGACTATTATTTTTGTTTTGTTACCATTTATTCATTAGTTAAGTATAATTAGTGAATTAATATTTGAAAAAACTATATTAACATCAACTGTCATCCACTACAAGTTTTAAAAAATGTATTTGAACTTGAGTGGATGAATAAAAAATATTTTAGTAACAATTGAAAATTTGAACAAGATACATATATAAATAAATATATATAGGGAGAGAGTGAACTAATAGTAGGAATTAAAAAAAAAACTTTTTAAATTATTTTTCTCCTAATCTCCACATCTTATATCTAATCTGCATTGGTGGGTTCCGATTAATAATAGGTAATTTATTTTTTACAAATAACTGCAATCCACCCTGCTATACATTAATTCTAAAGATTTAATGTGAAGTAAATGGATTTTTTAGACGAGTAAAAACTTATTCTTTGACCTCAGTTCTTAAAATTACCAAAAATCTAAACACTACTATATCATATTATTATGAACATCCCTCATATTTCAGAATAACTGCAAATCGAAACAAAAGTTACCAGTATTTATCGCTGATAGAAGTGTGCAAACAGTTGTACATCCAGTAGAAGAAAATATTGACTATACCTATAATTGGAATCAGTGGAGCCTCAGAAAACAAGCTTTAAAATATGTAAGAAAACCTTTTGGCATAGCAATACTAAATAATTTCGTTTTTACAAATTTTTGATATATCTATTATTTCTTTAGGCCGATATCTCAAACAAGAAAACTCATTCCACGCAAACAGATCTCAGCCATTTCAGAAGAGAAAATTATAGTCAAGTCTATTTACCAAAGTAATTGGATCTATTTGTATTTTTTTGCTCATTAACCAGCTACACAACTTAAAGAAGAAAAATTAGATATATTTTTAATGTTATTATACTCGGCCTTAATGTAAAGTCCTGTAATGATGAAAACTAATATTTTCGTAAAATACATTTTCTGAATCAATTAAGATTAGAAGTTGATTCCTACATTTAAAAAGATTAAAATGAGATACATAATCAATAAAAAAGGAAAATATATCAATATTAGAATATTTTAAAATAATATACAGCAGCCTATTGTTAATGGTTGTGAATTCTCTCTTTAGAAACATACAGACTACTTTTATGGGTGAGTGAGTGTTAATGAATGCTGCACTATAAAGCAACACAAAGGCTACTGGCAGTGGACCTCATAATATTGAACCTCGGCCAAATGATGAGGATGACACCTGAGTGGGCAATCCACCTCTCTAAGCTACCATACCATGCAAACAGGAGGTCATCTAACCATGAGAGATTTAACAAGAATCAACATCTTTACTCTTAGGTTCTTGAGTGGCACTAGGGCTGGAACTCATGACACACCGCCCACGAGTCAGTGACCATAATCACTGGGTTAACTAGGCACATGACTACTTTTTATGAGAGTGGTTTATATTTTAAAAAAAACCATAGACTAAAGCACTGAGACAATCTTTTTGCTAAAAATTTTAAAAAATCTCTTGTTGTATGCGAGTTTGAGCCCCCAAACTCTATTTTTATGTACGTCATTGATAGAAATTCAAATCAAGTAGTAGGTTGAAGTCTTGATTTAACCTTAGATGCAGAATCATTACGTCTACAGCATATTAAATAAATCTTGAACTTAGTCCTTATTCTGAATTGTAAAGTTATTGTCATACTCGTCCTTTAATAATGGGCCGAAATTACAAAATTTAACAAAAGGGAAGCAATAATTCAATAGTCCTAAGCTCATAACTTCCATTAACAATATAAATTTACAGACCAAGAAAGGTCACATTGCTAAAAGAATCATTAATGTTGGATTCAAGGTTCATCTTTGAGAGAATAATGGGGACTTTTTGAGGGGGTAAATTTGGGGTTCCTTAATGGAAAGTCTCATTGCTTCCAACCTGTCTAGACCTGCAGGTGTTGCTAACTTTAGAATTAAAACTGGCCATGACTACCTCACGGAGCATCTGCACAGATTCGGTCTAGTGGATTCCCATACATGGCCTTTATGTAATGCTAATGACACGTGAGATGACCATTTGGTTTCTATTTTGGACTTAGTGACTTAGCAACGACCAATGCCCTTAAAAATCCCTTTTTCTGTATTGAGCTGTCTGTCATAAAAGGAAGGCGGCACTGGCATAGGGTGTTCTGAGTGGGCCCTGTATCAAAATTCCTTGGGAGACCAATTTTTGGAAATAGTAACAAATGGTGCAGCGGTAGCCAAGTGGCTATGGTCACTAACTCATGTCCAGAGTGTTGCGAGTTTAGGTCTTGTGCCACTGAAGACCCGCTGTGTAGAGAAGACTGATGTACATTAAATCTGTCGAGTCTCAATGTCCTCTTGTTGGTCTGGTGTGGTAGTTAAGAGAAGGAGGTGCCAGTATCATCACTTAACCAAGGTTCAAATTGACAAGGTCCATCACCAATAGCTCTCATGTTGCTTTATAGTGCAACGTTAATATAACTCTCACTTTCCTTAGAAAACAAATAATTTTGTATTATTGAAAAAAATTTTTCTTTGAAATCTTTACTCAAATTCAATTTTATAAAAAGAAAATATTGTACAATAGATTTTATTAACTAATGATTTGTTTTAAAATTTAGAGATCAATTTACGCAAACAAAGAAGGATGGAAGTACAAATATTACAAGAGCAGGTCTTCCAGAACTATTTGTAAGGACAAGGAAGACATTTTTTGAGTGGAGTTAACAAAGAAATCTTTGAATTGTTTAACAATACACAAGTTATGCCATTTTTATTACTTTTTTAATGAATGTAATTTTTATTCTCTTGCAAATGATTAAAATTTTTTTAAAAATATGATGTTATTTTTTTTTAAAAAAGTAAAACAAAAATATACAATGAAGAAAAAAGATTTTTAATCAAATTTTCTTTACAAGGGTTTTTTTTTTAACTGATAAAATTTAAGGTGAATTTCATATAATTGAAAGAAAAACAGAGGAAAATCTAATAAATAATTTTAAAATTAAAATAGTAAACACATAGAGTAATAACAGAAAATGTGAAATGAGTGGCAACCAATACAACAATAACAATTGTGTAACTACAAGCAAAATACAAGTTGTTTGACAAATGACATCATAATCGCCTTCTTATGAACATTCATAGTATAAAAATAGATGTTGTGTAGAATCTAGAAATATGTCTGTTAGTGTTGCTGTTTTGTACTAGAGGGAGGGGGGGATAGTGTTTTATTATTTGAAATATGCGATTAGTTAGACCATCCGTAACTGCTGGAACTTACATGTATACCATTCTTTATTTAATCACACAAGTCACTTGTGAAGCATGCATGTTTCTCATGAGTGTGACTTGACATCTTACACCATTCTGATGTTAGTTTTACAGCATGCATATTAATTACATAAGTTAAAATACACAGTATCAAAAGAGGCAAGTCAACAAGAGTGACAAAACACAAAAATAACAATAAAAATTTATATATGTACACTATAATTACAATTCATGATCGTCAAATGGCAAAATACATTTCACCAATCAGCACTATTATTAGCCAAGTAATCCCTCCTGCCAATATTCGAAGCTTGCTTATTTTGCATGGCTTCCAATTTCGGACAATCTGTAATTCTGTGCCCAAGACCACCACAATAAGAGCATCCTCTTTCATCTATGAAAAGAAAATTATGATATAAAAGAACGGAAAGCATAATTATTCATGTTATTTATTTTAATTTTATTTTTTTGAAATTTATATATTGCAACATGATTTTGCACATAATGTCAATTTTATTTATTTATTTATTTTTTGTCATGTCCATGGACAATCAGATAATGTCGTGAGCTCTCTGGACTGCCTCTGCAAGTCTCGGCGCATCAGCACTGTAAAGAATCTCGCGTAGCTCCGAAGCCAGTGGCACCCTTCTGTGCCATATAACATGCGGAGTAAGGGCCGGACATTTTAGGATGTGGTCTGGCGTTAGTTGGGCCTCGGTGCAGTTCTTGCAGGGGATATAAGTTCTAGTTTTGTCTGATGAGATCTTCATACCTTTAAAATGGCCCGTCCTTAGTCTTGCAATTATGGATGTAAGATTTCTAGAGCAATCAAAATCGACAATGAGGGTTTTTTTGTATCGATGAGGCAGAAGCCTGTAATTTGCGACTGCATTTGCATCTGCAAGCGTAATGGTGGGACAAAGTTGGTCATCATTTCTGCCCTCTTTGGCCAGGGAGTCTGCACACTCGTTTCCCTCAATGTTTACGTGATTAGGAATCCATTACAATAAGCAGGATTTCCCTTTGCAATGCAAACTTTCAAGTAGGACATTGATAGCAGAGGTTATGTTCGTATCTCCTTTAATGATTGCTTCTAAGGCCGCTCTTGAGTCGAAGAAAATAGCCAATCCTTCAGTTTTGCCCGAGAGCTCCAGATGGTCGAATACAGGATGAGTGCCTCCTTAATTGCAAAAGTTTGCTGGTAAAATTAGATGCTATTAACCCAGCGTTAATTTTGTGCATTTTTATTTGGAAGTTGGAAGAGAATGCCAGCTCCTTCCTTGTTGAGAGAAATGTCAGATGAGCCGTCTGTATAGACAACTGCAAAATTCCCCAGAGAGATTTTCTCTATCGTTTCAAGGCCCTTCTGTTTGAGAATTCTTGCATCTTCTTTCTTTGAGCAAGGGCGCAGGAGATTTCGAGTAATTTTCGTTTCTTTTGGAGGCCTTCTGGGGAAGGGAGGCTCTTGCATAAAGTTCAAAATGGAATGTTCTAAATTTATTTGGATTCTAATATCCTCATCAAGTTTGTCAATTTTATATTTTAGTAATATGTTTAAACCAAAGTTAGTTTGCAATTCAATTTGATTAATAATTAATACTTTTTTAAATAAAATGTAGTTTTTCATTTAGCTTTGCTTAGAAAAAAATATATATTTTAACTTATACATTTAACTTAAAAACAAAAATAAATTCCAACCTA